AACAACAACAACAACAACTACAACAGTGACAACAGCGACAACAACAACAACAATGGCAAGGAGAACAACAATAATAACGACAGCAACAACAACAACAACAACAGCGACAACAATAACAACAACAATAACAAGAATCAGGGAAGGAAGTTGGAAAACCCAAAGAAATTGTATAGATTCACCAGAGAATCGAAAATGCTTATCAGAATGTTATCAACAACAATATTTGAGGTCAATGAGCCATTCTAATCGAATCCTAAACAATTTAAACATTCCCTAATTTTCCCTTCTTCCATTATCAACCTTATGTCCTGTGCGTAATATCTAAATTTATCGCATGATTGCGCAAAATAATCACCATCTCTAAAATTCACGGAAAGAAAAATGAACGATTTAATTGGTATTAAAATTTGAATTTTAATAATAATTTCATTCAATTTTTTGAAATTAAGCAGGATTAAATTAAATTTTTGTAATATTATATTAAACATTTTGCATATTGGAACATTATTTTTTCAATTCTTATTCAATTTTTTCTCGAAGAAAATAATTTTTTTTTTTCCAAAAATTGATAAATGATTGATTAATAAATCTGGAAAAATTGAAATAATTGTGATAATTTAAATAATGTCAAATTATGACGTGCAGAATTTAATGTTAGCATGCTTGTAGCGGATAAAATTGAAATAGAAATGGTAATGTTATAAAAATTAAAATGATTCAAGATTTTTTTCAAGCGGGAAGCTATCAAATATCATGTAGTTTTTTGATAGATTAACAAAAAGAATTGAAATGAATGGATTAAAAACGGAACAATGAATCAAATCGAACGATAAATTGAACGAAACAACATAGGTGGTATGAGCTGCTTTCAAAATGTCACCAGGAAATAAAAAATTAGGCCAACAAGTGACAAATTGAAATTTTCGAAAAGTTCATTGCTAACAGAAACAAATACCAATGATAGCATATTATTTAAATCAATTTTCAATTTCTTTAATCTCATCCATCTTAAAAATTGGTTATTCATTTTTCCAAAGTTTATTAATAAAAAAACAAAAACAAGAAGAACGACGATAACAATAGCAACAATAACAGTAACAATAACAATAACAACAATAACAATAATGACAATAACGATGACAACAACAACAACAACAATAATAATAATATCGACAGCAATAACAATGACAGCAACAGCAACAACAACAACGATAATAATTACAATAATAACAACATTAATAACACATAAAAACAATAACAACGGCAATAATTACGGCAATAATAATAATAATAACAACAACAACAACAATAACAATAACAACAGCAATAACAACAACAACAACAACAACAACAACAACAACGATGATAATCACAACAATAATGACAATAAAAATAATAACAATAACTATCAATAATTACAATTTTCGAGAACAATAATTTTAACGCATATTTTTTGTTAATAGTAAAAAAACTGAATAATATAAAGTAATAACGACAATAATTATGGTAATAATACCAACAACACGAACAACAACAACATTAATATTTTTTTTTTTCCTTAGAATAGGATAAATTTAATTTCTGCCATTTATTCGCTGTCAAAAAACCTCCAACTCCTTGCTATCATCCTTGACAAACACATTTAATGATCAAATATTTTAATGAATATCATCAATTTATCACTTATATGTGTACCATTCTTCAATTTTGATATATTCATTTTCTTTCACAGTTCAATAACTGTACCATCATCAACATCATTCATTAATTTATCAACAGGAATTGAATAAAATGAAAAATTTTTTTGGGACATTTTTTTTTTTTGCTAAATTTTAATCTGAATTTACAAAAAGGAAATTAATTGAAAAAAGAAAAATTTTAAAGTAA